CCTAAACAACCCCTTCCAATATCTCTCCACGGAATATCTTGAAGGTAATACAGCTGAACTCCACAGGAAAAAGCACATGACCAGTGTGTTTTTGAACTTTCCCTTCCCCAATCTTGTCCAATGTAGTAACAGCCATAAAGTAACCAAGATCTTTTGAGGCCTTCTTTGCAGCAAAGTCATCCATGAGGCGAATAAGAATTGCCTTCTGAAGCATTACGCCTTCAACATCAAGTTTCTCAGCATGGATTATCACATCCCACGATAACTCAGATTTCAAAAACATTTTGAAGAACCTGTCACAAATCAAAACCTTCATCAAGGGTGCGTATTACAAAGAAACCATGCATGCCGTCACAGCAATTCTAGTATGAAAGGTCAATAAAATGTTTTGAATTTTATATGCCACAACCAATACAAGAAATGAAGTGTGCATCTACTGAAATTTATCCATCTCTAATACCCACAAACACTGTTAAGAGTATTTACACCAATTTGAAACACCGCTAAACCAACAATTGGCGTGATCTAGAGTTTTCCACTGACAAAAGAAAGCAATCAAATTGCTTTTAGGAGGCAACTGCAATCAAATTATATTTAGAATGTTAAGTAGATAAAACTTAATACACATATCCATCCTTCTCACATTTAAAAATCATGTCAACTTCAAATTTACGAAATGTCCCATATTTCAATCAGTGTCAAGAGTAAAAAAAAAAAACATAGCCATCCATTTCACAGAGGCAATCACAGTTATATAATAGTGAATTTAGAAAATCATGAGGGAATAGGGGGGAAATGGAGGAAGCAACAATGCATGATCGGGAAGTGACAAGTAAAGGAAACAATTTGAAAAATTCTTAACATATAACTGAAAAAACCTAAACAGCTAGCGCAAGCAAAGAGAACCAGCGAAGGCGGCACAGTAGACGGACTAACCTTTGGTGAACAACCCGGCGATAGGCGACCGGCAAGGAGAAAGTGAGGGTATGGGAACTGTAGAAACTGGATTCAACTCACATGTGATGGTGACTTAGGGCATCTGCAACCCTAGCATATGCTTTACTTTCCAATTTCAAATATAGAGTAGCCAACTCAATTCTCTATTTTACAGGTGCTCACGGTTTTAGTCCATGAAGTTATGTTATTTTTAGTTTAGTCCCTTTTTTAATCATTGGATTTCAAGATTTAAACAAATCTATTTTTGATCGTATATTTTCATATAAATTTTTTAAATATTTTTAATATTTAATTATCATAACTTAAAGTACCTTTTTTACATAGTTTACAAATATATAAATTTTATTTTAAAAAAGTTGAAGAATTCATGAATAAATTTACGATAAAATAAGTTCAATGGGGTAATAGAACCTTAGTATAGTATAAATGTGTCTCTGAGATTTCAGGCATATGTTGAGGGGTGCTTGTGCATTATCCCTAAAATTATTATCAAAAAGATTTCTGAAACATGCAAAAAAGTAAAGCGGATTAAGCTTCGATGTGTTCTATCGTTATATGGTAGCACAAATCCGGAGATGTAAGCCTTTGCTCCGGTGACCTTTGTGAATGAATGAAAATGCTATAAAGGTAACATGAAATGAGAGTATTGATGTTGTACGACTAATACACACTACACAAAAAATTATATTTAGTAATAATTAATTTTTAATTGCCGCTGAATATGTATTTTTAACGGCAATTAACAATAATTATTTATGTCACTAAAACTTTTAGCAATATTGGTTCTAATGACAGTAAAGATTTTAGCACACTTTATTAATATTAATATTTAATGCCACTAAAAGTTGCTTATGTAGTAGTGACACAAAAATGTCTTGCACAAATAAATGAAGTTAACTATGTATACGTTATAAGGGTGGAGTTTCCACCTATCAGAAAATTTCCCTTGAGACTTAAAGTATCAAAATGTATATATGCATCATGTGGAATTCAATTGTATTACCTTCAAGATATTCCATGGAGACATCTTGGAAGGGGTTGTTTACGAGATCAAGAAGCACTGTGTCTTTTTTTAGATGTGGTCCCATCGACAAGGTATACTTCTAACACAAGAAGATGGAGGATTATAAGTATGTGCCTGGAGAAAGTCCTATCTTCATGAATGAGAAGATGTCAAGAATTGAGAAGGACATTGTGGTGCGTTTCATTGTGGTTGGAGCAACGTATGTGGAGGCGGAGAAGGAATTCCAAGCAGTTGGAAGCTTGGAAAGTGCTTGCCTCGGACACATCTCACAAAATGTTGTTTGGATTTCGGTTATATATTCACCATCATTGGCTCATTTCAGACATGTAAAGCTAAATTCTGTAGCTATATCTGTGTTTAGTAAAATTAAATGTGTCTTTTTTTTTGTTGTTGCTTACCCTCTCTTTAGTGTCTTCGGTTCAAGTGGTGATGTTCATCGCTCTTGCATTTACTTGTTAAGGTGATAAACCTTAACAAGAGTCATGAACATTGTTAATGAAATGAGAAGTTATGGTGATACAATTTCTGATCAGCAAGTTGTGGAAAAGATTCTAATTAGCGTCAAAAAAAAGTATAAGTACATTGTTGCTATCACCGAGGAGACGGAAGATCTTTCTAAGCTTTCTATCAAAGAGTTAGGCGGATCATTTTGTGCACACGAGAAGCGAAGATTTTTTCATGAAGATCAATCCTAATTAAGAGACAACTTTCTAATCCAGAACAAACAAGAATTCTAAAAATATCTCAAAAAATCAACAAAAGAAGAATTATAATCCATAAAAAAAGCAGGATCATGATGATTCTCTTAAGAAGGTTGAAGAAAAAGGTGACAAAAATACTAGTTTTTTTTTTTGTAAAATTTGCAAAAGGATCAATCACAATGCAGAAAAATGCTAGCACAAAGGCAAGACGACGCAATGTAAATTTTGTAAAAGTTTGGCCACATTCTATTGTTGGCACAAGCAATAGGAGCAAACAAATTTTTGTGAAGAATAAGAGGAAGAAATAGAAGAAAATCTTTTCTTTGCTTCTCAATGTGATCTTTTAGCAAAAAAGCAATGAATAGTATATTGATAGTGGTTGTAGAAAATACATGACTGGAGATGAAAAAGTTTTCCTCTCAATTAATAGTAGCATCACTACTAAAGTAAGAATGAGGAATGGAGCCTTAGTTGATGCAAAAGGTAAAAATATCATTTCAATCAACATAAAAGGGAGCGGTAAGCACACTCCACTGTGCCCACATCTATTCTAACTACAAAGACCAAATTCACCTGTAAAAAGATCTTAATATTAAACACACTCCACTGTGACCACATCTATTCTAACTCCAATCATTCTTTGGAATGTATGAAATAATAGGAATACTAAAAGTTTACAAAAAATAGGGATAATGCCCAAGTACCCCCTCAATCTATGCCTGAAATCTCAGAGACACACTTATTCTATACTAAGGTCCTATTACCCTCCAGAACTTATTTTATTAATAATTTTTTACCCCTTTTTAGCCTACGTGGCACTATCTTGTGGGCCCAACGACGGTTGACTTTTTTTTTCAAACTAGTGTCAGGTAAGCTAAAAAGGGGTAGAAAATTACTTATAAAATAAGTTCAGGGGGTAATAGGACCTTAGTATAGTATAAGTGTGTCTCTGAGATTTCGGGCATAGGTTGAGGGGGTACTTGTGCATTTT